GCGGGTGATTCGAAATAAAACGGCGCACCGGGACGACAATGAGCTGACAGGTGACACTGACTAGAGATAAGATCGGGCCGCCCGAGCCCGCGGGTCGAGTCTGGGTTCTCTCTCGCTGACTTTTTTTTTGTTCGTTACGAGGCCGTTAATAGTTTTGGCCACGAGAAGACCGGGGTTCGCCAAAAAAACAGAAGTGGCCTCATCACAACATGTACTGTACGAAACACTCGCAATGACAATTCAAAGAACTCCTTCATGTCTCTATGATCCAGCCGTCAATGTTCTTTGTCTCGCTGCTTCTCTCCAAGTGCCGCGCTCGATTCTTAAGGACGTACTGCTGCTGTGGTGAATGGCCCAATTTTCAACCCGTCAAAATGAGGGACGGCCTTAAATTTTACCCGTCCACCCTTAAAAAAAAATCCGTCAATGATGGAAAATTGTCGGTTAATGTACCCTCTGCAGAAACAGAAATACATGTTTAAAAGATGTAAATAATTATACAGACTTGTTTAACTTAGATTTCGTGACAAAAGACAGACTTTAATTTATCACAAATCACCCCTCCTCCTCCCAAGTCATCACAAATGAAATAGGAAATGTCGGGCCCGCAAATGCTCCGGCCTGCAAATCAAGTTCATTGGTCGGGCTCGGGCCAGGTCGGGCTTAAATACCAGCGGGCCGGGTCGGGCTGGATTTTTTTGGCCCGATCTTACCTCTACATCAAATCCATGGTATCATTTTAATCACTGTCTGTCATGACATTTATTTTCCACATGATGGCGCAGTAGTGCAAATAAAGCCTCATGATGCTTCGGCCCAGGAACGAACCAGTTGAATGGAAAGCCTCATTGCTTCATGAGGCTTCATTTTCCCATCACTACTTTCTTCCGTTCCACTCGAGAGGCGTTCATGGCCGCCTACGAAAAACGTAAATTAATTCTTGCTTCAATGAAACCACGAAGAAAATCAAGCGAGGAAATTACAAAATAAATTCTGTAGGGGGCATATATAATTTATTTTGTGATTTCCTTGCTTGATTTTCTGTTTTGATGCATTATTTTCAATTTTCGTAGTTTCATTTAAGTACAGTAATAGTTAATTTACATTTCTCAAGTTGAACGGACGCCTCTCGAGTTGAATGGAAGGAGTCTAGCACCATCTAGTGGTCGCACTGTAGATTGCGCCTTTTAGTGCGAAGCGTCTTAAGATATGAAAAAAATTTACAAAATAGCCATTCATTGAAGGTGCGCCTTATAATCCAGTGCGTCTTTTCGTGCGGAAAATACGGTAAATTTTAGCTGTGTGTGTTCAATGCACTACATGTTTGCACTGTGGCTGAGAGACGAAAGTAATTTAATCTGTGCTCTATGTTACACATAGAGCATATTTGATAATAAAAGCTGACTTGACATAACTAATTGGTGAGGCCTCGTCTTGCAGAGTGGAGAACTGTGACAATTCCATGGACATAGTGTGGAAAAAACTTTTCACACAAGCATGTCAATGCAATCAAATGTCTTAAAGGACACTTGACTTTTCATATCATCTTGTTTATATGCAACATTTTGGAGAATAGGGTTATTGTTCGTCATGCAGCTGACAAATGACGCCCATGAGACTGAATGGAGTCAGCTGTGCAACTCACCAGTCCACAAAAAGTCACATGCAGCTCATCACTCTCACTGCCTGCGCCTGCTTCAACCAAAACATGTTCAAAACCTTGTTCATGAACCCAATTCGTCGTGTGGCGCATGTGACATCATACAAAATACAACCACTGGCCAATCTGTTTTAAACAATATGAAATAGAAAAACCAAGTTACGAGGCACTTTTTTTCATCAAATGTGAAGTTTTACATACATTACAAAAGTTTGTTTCCTTCTTGCAAGCGAGGAGGAAATTAACGCTGAAGAAAATTCTCTCGAATCTAACCAGTCAACTTCAATCATTATGTAAGGGTGTGGTTGCAATTTCACACAGACACTCAGGGTTGAATCCGCATGACACCCCATTTTAACAACGTATCAGTGTTCCATTCTCGACTACACACACCACACCAACATTCTGTTTTTAACACTGTCCCCAAACTTTTAACACTGGCCAATATGCAGTGTAGATACCCAAATTCCCTTACAGTGAACATTTCTGCAATGTCTGGTCTGAATTATGTTCTGAAAAGAGGAATCCCCTCCACTAAACTCACCCCTAATTGTAGTCGCTAGTCTGTAATTATGGAGATTGTGGGGTGTTGTCACCGTTTTGTGGCACCACAAACAAACAAGAACAAAGCAAGCTTCAAAGGGAAATCCGAGCAGTGTTTTTACTTAACACACTTACTTTTCCAAGTGCAAACCATGGGGCTTTGTTTATATTTAACGAAGCAAGTGATAAGTGCAAGTTATCCAATGACCTTTGATGAAAACAAAAAACAAAATACACAACAAATGCAGTGATAATTTTACAGTTTACCGCCAGCGAGTCCCAGGGACTCGCTGATCAGAAAAGTATGAGTCCCATTATGCATTTAGAGCGTCCCAAATTTTGAATTCTGAAATGGTCTACTTATTCAATTGCATATGATAATAACACAAACAACAACATATACATGCAATTATAAACAAATGCTGCAAAAATTTAAATAATTCAGTAGCAGGCCTGAGGATTTCGGAAATTCACGGTAACCGTTTTTCAGTTCCGTTGGATTACCCAATGGGAAACCACGGTAACTAATTTTGGGTTCCGTAAACGTTCATCATGGGAACCCATTTTTCTATTTTGACTGATTTTCATAATCAAGAACTCTGAAACTCAAAAGTATGTTTCAAGGGTAAATGTTTGAAAACTATGCATTAACAGTGAACATTACTGTACATCAGCAGCTGTGTACTCCAGGTTTATTCAAAATAATAAATGGACCAAAATATGATGTACTCATATGTCATCAGGAATACAGCATACCACAAAATCAGAGTATTTTTTTTCCAATCTCACACTGCAAAGATTAATTTACTGGTAATCATTATACAGGTAAGTATTGATGTGGCTTGACATCCTCTTCCCAAGACATGCATGTGTAATCTACTATAAATTTGACGAAAGAATTTAACACACGTCATCATTAGTTCTACCAACAATTAACATTAGCATTACGACACCTTGTGACTAATGTTTTATTCATAAAGTTACCATGCTACAACCAGTAAATTATAGAATAACCAAGACTTGTTTCATCATATTTTTCATAGCGATTAGCCTATAGATCTAATGACCAACTTGCCTCGTAATCGTGCCTCCCGCCGTATTTCGCTCTCGCGTTGTGCATACATCACAGGTTAGTTTAGTGATACGCCCCTTCGGACGATTCATACGGAAAATCAGACTGGCATTCCCATTTCTTAAATGTCGTAATTAGTAGACCTTTGTGAGGTTTTTTTTCGCCACCATCTCAAACTTTCATCCTCGCGATTCCTCAGTTTGCGGACTAAAATAGCAACCCGCATGCGCACATAACGTTATCTGTTCCATCGCCACCCAACACTGAAAACAAAACAAAACGAAAGCAAATTAGAAGAAACACACACACACACACCACACCACAAACACACATACAGGCACAGTGAAATCGCGTTGATCCCATAGGAGAGATTCGATCACGTACAGTCAACTCGAGTGCGGTGACTTCTATGGTTAATTAAACGATTTTTCGGTACCGTCAAAATGACGCCACGGAAACGACACGCTACCGGTAACGACAGTTACCGTGAAATCCCCAGGCCTGCCGTAGTTTTTTTTTTTTTGTTTTGTTTTGACTGAGAAATTTCCTTGCGTTCCAAAAACGCACATTATTTGGAACTGTGCGTCCCGCGGGAAAATTATGCGTCTAGGACGCGGGACGTAGAGGTAACGAGATGTATGCAAATGGTCTGGCCTAATGTGAAGGTGCCGAGGACTCACTTCCTTTGAAAAAATAGAAAAGGGGAGTGTGGCAGTCTAGCTGATAAACATGAGGGTCTGCTGGCTAGCTCTCAGATGAAAAAAACCAGATTGCATCATTTTATATGGGCCGCGAAAGCAAATCATCTGCGTCAACTCACATGATCCTTGCTAAAATTTGTACTGAAATGCAAAATTGTCATGTGTAGTAAACAATGTTGAGATTTTGCAATAATTTTGCACCCCGGTTCAAAGTCACAAACAATAATTGAACAAAGTATAAACGTTGACTGATTTCAAAACTAGTAATTTATCAATTTGTTGTGCACAAGTAATATGCAATGAGATGATTAAGCATTTATTTATTTTCACAGCCATAATGGCCCTCCGAGGGAAGAAGTATCTCCAAAGTGGCCCACGACAAAAATGAGTTTGATACACACACACACACACACACACACACACACACACACACACACACACACACACACACACACACACACACAGGATTTTACACAGTATAGGGCAAAATAATATTTTAGTGTGAGCAATTTTGGATCTCTTAAATGTACACGTCTCATATTTTCGACTTGTGTACGCGTTTCTAATGACATCCTGCTGGCAAATAACACTGGAGATTACGTGTGTCTAGTTTTATTGGATTTAACTGCAGCATTTGATACAGTGGATCACAGTATTCTGCTGACTCGTTTGCAGCACTTGGTGGGCATTGGCGGTAGCGCTCTTGAGTGGTTTAGGTCCTATTTAGCTGACAGAACCTTTTGTGTCAGCCTTGGCTGCTCTGAGTCACGCACTGCTCCCCTGTCATGTGGTGTTCCACAGGGCTCAATTCTGGGGCCTCTGCTGTTCTCGCTGTATCTGCTCCCATTGGCTTCCATCTTAAGGAAACATGGTATTTCCTTCCACTGCTATGCAGATGACTGCCAGATCTATGTCCCACTGAGCAAAAAAGACGCCTTCTCATTAAGGCCACTTCTATCCTGCCTGGAAGAAATCAAAACCTGGATGAAACAAAATTTCTTGACTTTCAATGAAAAGAAGACAGAGGTGAAACTGTTTGGTCCCAGTGGCCCTTGTACATACCATCCTGTAGACTTGGGCCCCCTGTCTCCTTATCTTAAGTCAACAGTCTCAAACTTGGGCCTTAAACTGGACAGTGATTTCAAACT